GAGAGAGAGAGAGAGAGAGAGAGAGAGAGAGAGAGAGGGAGAGAGAGGGAGCCCGGTGTATTATAGGGGGGTCCTCCGGCAGACTAGGCCTAAGTCAGCCTGTTCAGAGCCCAGGTGAGGTCAGCTGTGATGTGGATTCCCAGGAACTTGATGTTGTCCACACGCTCCACTACCTCCCCCTGTATAGCTACTAATGGAGTAATACTGACCCTGGTTATTTCTAACCGAACCATAAAAGTCACGGAGAATCTTGTTGAGATCTTCTTTTGTTATAGTTGCAAAATCCACAGTTTGTTTCCTGCTTTTTAAATAGTCCTGGAAACATTTGACAGCCCAAGATGTTCAGCAGTATGTACTCTCTTCATTCCTCGACCTCTCTAACTGATTGTGCTCCTCGCCTAACAAAGCAGCAAATCTCTCATTTCTTGGTGTTATGTTCTCCTTTTGATCTTCTTCCAGCCATTCCTCAAAACTAAGTCCGCCATATAGATCAAAATTGACAGCAAAATGATCCATTTTGTGTCAGGTCAATACAACCCTTTTAGTTCTATCGTTAGCTAGCTGTGTTTCTTGCTAGTTGCTCCTGCGTAGTTTAAAATATAGGCGGAGTGATATTTTCAGTGATGAGGTATTTTTCATTTGAGCATGGCTAGCTGTGTTGTGATGCTCATTTGAGCACAGTCTATAATGTCTGACCAATCAGATTGCTCAGTCGGATCTGCGTGTTGTATAATGACAGTTATTCAACCAGTTTGAAACACTGACCATGACCTCTGAAAGCTGAACTGCAGCCTCAGAGTGGTCTTTACCTTTTACAAAAATCACAGTGTCATCTGCGTACATAACAACCTCACAGCCTTGGCACACAGACGATAGATCATTTATATACAAACTAGGATTGTAGGATTGGACCCAAGATTGAACCTTGGGGGACGCCTGTAGCAAGATCTTTGAAAGTGGATTTTGTATTTTGTATTCTAACACACTGAGATCGGGAAGTGAGACATGAGAGAGAAACAGAGAGAAATTAAATTGACCAAATTTAGACTGAAGGATATTATGATTAACGGTGTCAAAGGCTTTTTGAAGATCTAAAAATATGGCGCCAACAACACTCCCTCTGTCCATCAGAGACTTAACCCTTTCAATAAAATAGACAGTTGCTGTTTCTGTTGAGTGGTGGGCCCTAAAGCCATGTTGCATGGGATGAAGGAGCTGACTAGAGTTAAGATGAGAAACTAGTTGTTCTGCCGCCAATATTTCAATAACCTTGGACATGACAGGAAGTATGCTAATTGGTCTATAATTTGATACAGAGTGAGGGTCAGCATTCTTAAAAATGGGAACAACAGCTGCGGGTTTCCAGTATTCAGGAAAACTCCCCTGGCCCTGAGTAAATGAAATGTTAACAAAGTGTGTAATAGGTTTCGTCAATAAACAGGCAAGATCCTTGATCATAGCAGAGTACATCTCATATACGTCCTTTGACCATTTGGGTTTGAGTGAATCAATCACCTTCACTACTTGACTTTCAGACACTCTCTCTAAATTGAAGATGGGCGCAGCAGGATTTGGTGCCGTGACACTGTACTGCTGGTGTAAGGGAAAACTGTTGGCAATAGTAGCTACAGATTCTACAAAATAACCATTTAGGGCTTCAGCTACATCCGTCGGCTCATTTGTCAAAGTATCATTAATCCTCAGTTCAATCTGTTTTCTAGCATTATTTTGTTCAGTTAATTTCTTTATTTGCTACCATATAATTTTGGAGTTTCCCTTATTATTTACTATTATTTAAATAAAGTAGTTTGCCTTGGCTTTCCTAAGTTCTCTTGTTACTTTGTTTCTTAATGATGTAAATTTGTGCCTATCAGTTGTCAGTTTGGACTTCAATGATGTTTTCAGGGTCTGATCACAATCTTTCATCATTTGAAATATAGTTTCATTTATCCATGGAATTGAGGCCCTTTTATTTTTATTTCTAAACTTCTTGGAAAAATCTTTAATAATTGTGTGTAATTTGTCCGTAAAGCGTTGACTAGTATGGTCCAAATTATCTGATTTCATCAGGTCATCCCACTTAATACTCCGGACAGCATTTTTAAAGTCTTACTTTTTATTCTTTGATATCTTCATGGAGTCTGTACTCTGAACAGGGATACAACATTTCTTTCCATTCACTTTTAAACGCTAAAAATTAGATCAATGTGGGTGCAAGAGGAATTGGTATTTCTGATTGGTCCATTAACTATTTGTGTTAGATTAAAGCTGTCAGTTACTTGTTTAAGTTGTTTTCTTGAGGACTTACCTTCCCAGATCACATTCACATTGTGAATCATGATTATTGCTTTATTGATGCGCCGATTAGGCCTATTTGCTCGCACTCCAGTTACCACATTCCGGTGATTAACGTTATCCTCCGAGTGTCAAGTCGTTTCAGTCACCATCTGTCCAAGATTGCTCCACGGACAACCCGCCAGTTCAACCGCTGCCTCCCCGCCGAGACTGCTACTCAAGCTGAGGCTGACAGCTGCACCAGCCGCAATCTCTTTGGGACCTCTTCCAGAGCACCCAGCCTCTACACCTGGTAAGCAGTCTCTGGCAGCCCGCCCACTCCTTTCTCCTCTCCCGGTACCGGCCACCGTCCGTATCGTCGTGTCCCCCACAGTCGTGAAACCAGCAGAAATATTCGTGTTAGTTGAAATGCCAGCAAACTCAATGGAAGTACCCCAATCCACCGTGCTTACCTGAGGAATCACAGTGCTGCTCCTGTAGATGTTTTCGGATAGGCCTACATATCTGTGTTGCAAGACGCCAAACTTGCACCACTCGCCACTCGCTTCACACAGAGTAATGACTTTATGATCTTTTTTAATGACAAAATTCTAACTATTAGAGGCAAAATTCATGACCTCCTGCCCTCAGATGGTAGGCCTACCTATCTAACCTCAAACACAGCTGTAGAATCTAATATATATTTAGATTGCTTCTCCCCAATTTCTCTTCAAGAATTGACCGCAGTGATTTCTTCATCTAAATCATCAACGTGTCTCTTAGACCCCATCCCAACTAGGCTACTTAAGGAGGTCTTTCCTTTAGTTAACACTCATATATTAGATATGATCAATATATCCCTATTAACAGGCTATGTACCACAGTCTTTTAAGGTAGCTGTAATTAAACCTCTCCTAAAAAAGCCCACCCTGGATCCAGAGGTGTTAGCCAACTATAGACCAATATCTAATCTTCCCTTTATGTCAAAGATCCTTGAGAAAGTAGTCGCAGACCAGCTGTGTGATTTTCTCCAGGATAATAATTTATTTGAGGAATTTCAGTCAGGATTTAGAGTGCATCATAGCACTGAGACAGCTCTAGTTAAAATTACAAATGACCTTCTGATTGCTTCAGACAAAGGACTCGTCTCTGTTCTTGTTTTATTAGATCTTAGTGCGGCGTTTGACACAATTGACCATCAAATTCTACTGCAGAGACTGGATCACTTAATTGGCCTAAAAGGTTCAGCACTAAGCTGGTTTAAATCTTATTTATCTGATCGTTTTCAATTTGTTGACGTTCGTAATGAATCATCCTTACGTACCAAAGTTTGTTTTGGAGTTCCGCAAGGTTCTGTGCTCGGACCAATCCTATTTACTCTATATATGCTTCCTTTAGGTAACATCATTAGAAATCACTCTATAAATTTCCATTGTTATGCGGATGATACACAGTTGTATTTATCGATGAAGCCAGAAGAAAGTAATCAATTAACTAAACTCCATAACTGCCTTAAAGACATAAAAAATTGGATGAGCACCAATTTCCTGATGTTAAATTCAGACAAAACTGAAGTTATTGTTCTTGGCCCCAAACAACTCAGAGACTCTTTATCTGATGACATAGTTTCTCTAGATGGCATTGCTCTGGCCTCTAGCACTACCGTAAGAAACCTCGGAGTAATATTTGATCAAGATTTGTCTTTTAATTCTCATTTAAAGCAAACCTCACGGACTGCATTTTTTCATCTGCGTAATATTGCGAAAATTAGGCCTATCCTGACCCGAAAAGATGCAGAAAAATTGGTCCACGCTTTTGTTACCTCAAGGCTGGATTACTGTAACTCTCTATTATCAGGTAGCTCTAGTAAGTCCTTAAAAACTCTCCAGCTAATTCAGAATGCAGCAGCACGTGTACTAACAGGAACTAAGAAACGAGATCATATTTCTCCTGTTTTAGCTTCTCTGCACTGGCTCCCTGTAAAATCCAGAATTGAATTTAAAATCCTACTGTTAACTTATAAAGCTCTAAATGGTCAAGCTCCGTCATATCTTAGAGAGCTCATAGTGCCATATTATCCCACCAGAACACTGCGCTCTGAGAACGCAGGGTTACTCGTGGTCCCTAAAGTCTCCAAAAGCAGATCAGGAGCCAGAGCCTTCAGCTATCAGGCTCCTCTCCTGTGGAATCATCTTCCTGTTACGGTCCGGGAGGCAGACACCGTCTCCACATTTAAGACTAGACTTAAGACTTTCCTCTTTGATAAAGCTTATAGTTAGGGCTGGCTCAGGCTTGCCCTGTACCAGCCCCTAGTTAGGCTGACTTAGGCCTAGTCTGCCGGAGGACCCCCTATAATACACCGGGCTCCCTCTCTCTCCCTCTCTCTCTCTCTCTCTCTCTCTCTCTCTCTCTCTCTCTCTCTCTCTCTCTCTCACTCTCATCCTATTACTGCATCTTGCTAACTCGGCCATTCTGGATGTCACTAACTCGGCTTCTTCTCCGGAGCCTTTGTGCTCCACTGTCTCTCAGAATAACTCATACCGCAGCGGTGCCTGGACAGTGTGACGTGTGTGGTTGTGCTGCTGCCGTGGTCCTGCCAGATGCCTCCTGCTGCTGCTGCCATCATTAGTCATTAGTCATACTTCTACTGTTATTATACACATATGACTATTGTCACACAAGTATACTGTCTGATACTAATACATACTTTCAACATATTGTACCACAGTAGCCAGAACTATAACTATAATATTATTACTTTCATTAATGTTGTTGTAAGCTACTGTCATTACCTGCATCTCTCTCTCTCTCTTTCTGTCTCATTGTGTCATATGGATTACTGTTAATTTATTATGCTGATCTGTTCTGTACGACATCTATTGCACGTCTGTCCGTCCTGGAAGAGGGATCCCTCCTCAGTTGCTCTTCCTGAGGTTTCTACCGTTTTTTTCCCCGTTAAAGGGTTTTTGGGGAGTTTTTCCTGATCAGCTGTGAGGGTCATAAGGACAGAGGGATGTCATATGCTGTAAAGCCCTGTGAGGCAAATTGTGATTTGTGATATTGGGCTTTATAAATAAAATTGATTGATTGATTGATTGATTGACCTGTGAACATGACGTGTTCATTAAGGTTTTTATACTTCTCTGTGATTTTAAGATCGTTATGACCCAAACTAAATTTCTTTTCATACCTGGTTTTCTGAACTCTATGACCTCTGTCTTTTTGGGATTGATAGGAAGACGCCACCTCTTGCATGTTGTTATAAACCAATCTGTGTCCGTGTCCCCACAATATAGTACCTGTTCCCTGAATGAGCTGTGTCATGGTGGTCTTGTTGAGCCGCTCTCAGTTGGATTCTTTATAAACCAGAGGGACGTGTCTGTCCTGACATGTGGACGAGAGAATCATCAACAGACCAAAAGAGGATCAGGGACAAACGATGATGTCAGGATCATTTGTGAGTGTAATGACAGGACGGTTTATCATCTGATATGTTGGTAAAATAAAACCAAGGGATCAGAGACGACGAACTGAGGAGATGAAGTCATTAACAGGAGTTTCTCTCTGCAGCGCAACATCTTCAGTCACCAACAGAACCCTGACTGAGGGTCTCTGGTCTCCGTCCAATCATCACTGTCATCAGTCTCAGCTTCAGAAGAGTCTCCAGACACCAGTCGTATTTCACCTACTAAAGAATCGTCAGGCTTCTCGTCCTTGGTATCTGGTTCTAAATCTGGATCTGGATGTGAGTTCCTGTCTAGTCCTGGTCCTGGTCCTGGTCCTCCACAGTGGTGTCCCTCAGACTGAGGTTTCTCTTCATCATCTTCACTCTTCACAGGGACAGGAGTGAATGTGAACTTGGTGATATCAGCCTCCTCCAGCCCTTGAAGCTGCTCTCCCTCCTGACTGCTCCACAGTTCCTCCTCTTCCTCTTTAATGTGTGGGGGCTCTGGGTCCTCCTGGTCCACACTGGAGCTCCACTCCTGCTGCTCAGGGGGAACCTCTTCTTTAACCACCAACAGCTGCTGGACCTCTGCACCCACCATCACTTCCTGGATGTCTGAGGGTAAAACTGAAACACAGACAGACACATCTTATCAATATAGACTTTTTGCTATAACCCGCATTTCTTCAGACATTTTATTAATATTTCGAGGATGTTTCAATAATATTTCTCTGATGTTTTATCAACACCTTTCCATACATTTCTTTGATATTTATCTGACATTTCATCAGCATTTTTTTTTCTTTTTGGACATTTATTAACTTTATTAACTTTCAGACCTTTTGTTAATATTTTGCAGACATTTAAAAAAACATAAATAAATTTGGACAATAAACATTTGTTTTTGGTCATTTTTTAATTATTTTTGTGACATTCTAGTAACATTTTTTTCATACTTTTTGTTACTACTTCTTAGACATTTCAACAATATTCATCTGATGTTTTATCAATACTCTTCCAGATATATTTTTCTGACATTTCATCAGCATTTTTTCTTTGATAAATTTTTTTTGGGACATTTTATTAACATTTTGTCAAACTCTTTATCAATATTCATCAGACATTTTAATAATATTCCTCTGACATTTTAGCAACAATTTTTGGACATTTAAAAAAAATTGGGGAAGGAAAATGTCATCAACATGTTTTCAGACTTTTTTTTAAACCATTTTTCAGACATTTTATCAGCATTTTTTTGGACATTTGTCAGTTTATTTGGGATATTTTATCAACAATTTTTTGGACATTTTATTAGCATTTTTCAGACTTTTTAAAAAAACAATTTTATCACATTTTTTGGACATTTATTAAATACTTTTGTGTCATTTCAGTAACATGTTTTCAAACTTTTTGTCATTATTTTTAGACATTTTAACAATATTCGTCTGATGTTTTATCAACACCTTTCCAGACATTTTTTTTTATATTTTTCTGACATTTCATCAGCATTTTTTCTTTTATAAATATATTTTTTGGACATTTTACTAACATTTTTTCAGACGTTTTCTTAATATTCATTCGATATTTAAATAATATTCCTCTGATGTTAAAGCAACAGTTTTTCAATGGTTTTGTTTTATCTGCTACCTAGGAGACATTATCTGCTACCTAGTGTCCTAGGTAGCAGATAATGTCTCCTAGGTAGGACTCTCCTACCCACACAGGTAGGTCTCACCTGTCTGAGGCTCTCTGGTCTCCTCCCAACCATCAATGATGACCTCAGTCTCAGCTTCAGGACACGCCCACATATCAGAGGAGCTCCGCCCTCTGCTGTCGGCAATTTTAGGATTCAGAGAGTTTAAATCTGACAGAGGCTCTACGGTCCAAATCCAACCATCAGTGGGGGGGCGGGGCAGCAGGAGGCGGTACCTGCTGCGTTTGGACCCTCCACACTGATGGTGTCTGAGGCAGGAAATCCACATGAGTCTCTGACTCCCTGCTGGTCCTGGTCCTCCACAGTCTTGTCCATGAGCTTCTATCTCCATCTGCTGTCTCAGATGAAGCTGTGAGGACAAAGGTTTGTCTTCATCATCGTCACTGGAGCTCCAGTCCAGCTGCTGAGGGGGGACCTGTTCCTGACTCACCAACAGCTGCTGGACATCTGCAGGAAACAGGAAGTAGAGAATGTTCATATATGTGGAAGACATCTAGATATCCTAAATGGTGGCCACCCTAAAACCGTTGAGGCCACGGCTCCACCCAGTTGGATTGACCTGGGCCCCCGACATCTCTGCAGTAGCGGTAGGCGTGGCTACGATTACTAACCTTAAGCTAGTCAGATTCAGCAAGCTAACTTATTTTAAAAACATTTTGCAAGCTAGCTTCTTTTAAAAACATTAACGACCTAGCTTCTTTTAAAAATATTAACGAGCTAGCTTCTTTTAAAAATATTTAGTAAGCTAACTTCTTTTAAAACATTAACAAGCTAGCTTCTTCTAAAAATATTATGTGAGCTAGCTTCTTTTAAAAATATCTACAAGCTAGCTTCTTTTAAAAACATTTAGTGTGGGGGCATCGGTAGCGTAGTGGATAATGTATTGCCTCGCTGCAGCGGTCGTGGGTTGGAATCCGGCTCGTGGCCCTTTGCTGCCCCACTCTCTCTCTGTCTCCTCATTTCACTCTCTGTCCTGTCATTAAAGGCAAAAAGCCCACAAAAATAATCTGAAAAAAAAAAAATACAAACAAAAACATTTTAAATACTAATAATACTAATACTTTTAAATATATTTAGTGTGCTAGCTTCTTTTAAAAGTATTTAACAAGCTAGCATCTTTTAATGACATTACAAGATAGCTTCTTTTAAAAATATAATGTAAGCTAGCTTCTTTTTAAAAACATTAAGCAAACTAGCTTCTTTTAAGAGCAATGCTCTAGAGGGCATTGCTCTGGCCTCTAGCACTACCGTAAGAAACATCGGAGCAATATTTGATCAAGATTTGTCTTTCAATTCTCATTTTAAACAAACCTCACGGACTACATTTTTTCATCTGCGTAATATTGTGAAAATTAGGCCTATCCTGACCCGAAAAGATGCAGAAAAATTGGTCCACGCTTTTGTTACCTCAAGGCTGGATTACTGTAACTCTCTATTATCAGGTAGCTCTAGTAAGTCCTTAAAAACTCTCCAGCTTAGCAGCTAGTTATCAGTATTATTAGCTGTTATTCATTAACTGTTAGCAGTTACTTATTAACTGTTAGAATTTATGTTAGCTGTTAGCAGTTAGTTGATGGCAGTTATTTATTAGCTGTCCGCAGTTAGCTGTTAACAGTAAGCTAGTTGTTTTTAGCTGTTAGTAGAAAGCAACTAGGTATAGCTACCTCTAAGCAGCCAGGGGACACAACCAGCAGCTCACAGAGGTTACAAAGTGAAGTGTTTAGAGCTTGAATTAGCTGTTAGCAGTTAGCTATTAGCTGTTAGTAGTTAGCTTTAAGCTGGTAGCTTTTAGCAGTTAGCTGTTAGCAGTCTCACCTGTCTGAGGCTCTCTGGTCTCCTCCCAACCATCAATGATGACCTCAGTCTCGGCTTCAGGACACGCCCACACATCAGAGGAGCTCCACCCTCTGCTGTCGGCCATTTTAGGATTCAGATAGTTTGAACATGACTGAGGCTCTACGGTCCACATCCTACCATCAGTGGGGGGGCGGGGCAGCAGGAGGCGGTATCTGGTTGGTTCATATTGTCCACACTGATGGTGTCTAAGGCAGGAAGTCCAAGAGCAGCTGAGTGGTTTCACTCCTTTGTGAGTCCTCATGTGTGTCTGTAACCCGACTCTCTGAGCAAATGACTCCCGACAGACGGAGCAGCTGAACGGTTTCTCTCCTGTGTGAGTTTTCAAGTGTTGCTTCAGGTGTCCCCTCTGCTTAAATCTCCTCCCACACTCAGAGCAGCTGAGTGGTTTCTCTGCAGCACTACGTCTGGAATCACCGACAGGAACTGACGGAGGTTCTCTGGTCTCTGACTTCCTGTCTGATCCTGGTCCTCCTCCGGGCTCTGGGTCATCCTGGTCCTGCTGCTCAGGAGGAAACTTTTCTTTAACCACCAACAGCTGGTGGACATCTGCACCAAACAGGAAACAGAGACACATTAAGGAAAAGCAGGAAGGAGCCTATCCCAGCTGACAGTGGGCAAGAGGCAGGGTTAAATGTACACGGTGCACTACACTGAATAAGCATGACGTTTCTGATGACTTTATTCCAACATTTATTCTTGGTGATGTCATTTACTCCGAGGAACAAACACTGCTGAGTGGGTCAGTCATAGAGACCTCAACAGTTGATCCTCTAAGCAGCTGCAGTGCACTCCTCAGTGCAGCATCACAGATCACTGCATATTCCTTTGGCGTAACTGGCAGCCTGAACTTAGAGAGGAATTCATCATACGTTAGTAACTGTCCCTCAGCATTTACAAGTTGTTTAACTAATACAATACCATTTCAACCCATTTTTAATAATACAATGGTTTGTTTTTACATAGAACACTCTTGTTATTCCAGATGGAATAACTAGCTGGTGAAAAATCATGTTTGTGCACCATTTTTCAGGCCAGCAGCGCTTGTTTATGAAAATGTGCTAATTTTACGGGTAAATTTCAGTCTTATAATCTCATGTTAACAGAAGTCTAAGACCGCCGATTGAGAACATTGGTGTTCCCGTGGCATGGGGAAAATGGCGTTCTGCAGGTGAGATGGCAGCGTGCACCTCTGCGACATGACGAGTGGAAGTTACGTTCTCTGAACAGTTTAACCTCGCCTAAGGGCTTGATGAGCCTACCCAACCGGCTAAACAAAGGCAAGGATTGATTTAAGAGTGGCGTCTTCCTCACCTTTCCACCTTCACCGAGCTAACAGCCAGCTGACTGACAACGAGGTCGGTCTATTTTGTATGTGTGTGTGTGTTGGACTACTTTATGGACACGAATATGGAGCTCTATGATAATATGCACACATATGCTTGTAAATCCTTGAAGACCCAGCTGGGAGTCATGGATGAGCTACTCAATCAAGAGCCATCTTCAGAGTCTTCTCCAGAGACTTTAAAGAGACCAAGTAAGAAACCAAAGACACTGACTGGGGAGCGGGACGAACAGCCTTTGACTAATTCACTTCTGCTGTCAGTCATGGAAAGAATTGAGAAGATGCAAGAAGAGTCTCTCAGACGGCTCCTGTCAGTGGAAACAACAGTTAAAGACAGACACTTTAAAAAGTGTCACAGACTCTCTTGAATTCCCGGGAAACAGGTGGAAGATGTAACCAAACAAGCTGAGACTCTCCAAACCAGAGCTGAAACTCCGGAGAGAGAAAACACTGCACTCCGTGAAACGACCTGGACACCTACAAGAGAAGATGGAATCTCCGAGTTGCCGGGGTCCCTGAATGACCAGGAGAGAGAGGATCATCATTGACCTTTTCAGCCAGGTCTCCCCCGACATCGCCGACCAACTGAACCTCTCGGTGGACATCGCTCACAGACTAGGTCCCTGCTAGGGTTGGGTACCGAAACTCTGTACTTTTTGTAGTTGGTACCGATTCACGTCGGTACTACCGAGTACCGATTCACTTAAAATGAAACGGTGCCAAATTTCGGTACCTGAGGTGGAGGCGGAGTGAGAGCGCATGACTCGCACCTCAGACTCAGCAACAATGGTGACAAAAACAATGTGCAGACAAAAGTTAACGTGCAGCACTGTTCCTAAATGTTCTCAATAATATGTTGAAACTGAGAAGTTTAGACTATGGGCCCGAACGACGCATAGTGCGTCCAAATTCACACCTGTTCTTCTCTGTGGATTTTCTCCACGACTGTGCGTCATAGCAAGAAGCCACGCATATCAGCGGAAACAGCAGAATTGTAGCTTTCCGACAAGGCCAAGCACTTGTCGGCATTCCAATGTTTTCACAGCGAAAAAACTTGATAAAATTACAATAAAATTATGTATAACAGAGCTTTCATACAGCTTTGCACACACATTACTCTTGGATGGATTACTTGCCAATGCAGGGTTGCACAGAAATACCACGCATATCACGTGAAAGTGCAGGAGCTTTCCAGTGATACCACACATCATTGTGCTGTCATCCCATCACGCTGTAAATAGAGATTGATTGTCTACAATATAAAAACTTGATGAATTTCTTTACAACCCATTATACAGATCTTGTTATCAGTCACTTCATATAGTGAGGAATATCATATCTTACCACGTCTTAGGCTTGCGTGTGTTTCTCCCTGTCTATCCACATTTGTAGTCCAGCTTTCAAGATGCAAATATCTCCATATTGTCCAGTTGACACTCCATCAAACTTTGTATGACAAGACCAGCCACTTCACCTTTGCGCACCCAGACAACTGCAGCCTAATTATGCATGCTGACAGGGCCGTAGTCACCATATACATTGAGGGGGACACGTGCCCCCCCCACCAATGCCCAAAATGCCCCCCCAATATATACCTGAAACTGAAAAACAACAACAAACTTTGTTTACTGCAAACAAAGTGGCAAATATTATCTTGGAGGACATCATTGCACTTGGTTGACTGTTTTTCTATGATCTTAGATGTAAATATTGCATGTTTCTTTCAGATAAAACACATTTTTGACTTGTGAATGAGTCAATGGAATTTCTTGCAATAATGAAAAAATACTGGCAATCATGTCCGCCTGGCACAAACCACATGTTTTGGACAGCTGTGAAGTGACAGAATGTCCCAGCATCATGGTTCTTATATTGCCAGATTCCAGAGAGTCTCCCCTCTTCATATATGGCAGAATATGTCAACTTCCAACTTGCTATGGTGAGATACATGTAAAAATGTAAGAATTTAGTAACACAGATTTGTTTTGTTTTTTTCATTGATACAAAAATTAATATAAAATACAGGCACATAGAAGGACACGAAATGATGGTTAGCCCACATTGTCCTAAAAAAAACAAGATATAGCATGTGTATGTAGCCTTTATAATGACTGTGATATGAGCTTAAAAGTAAAGGCAGTAAAAATACCCCAAAAACGCCTAGGGCCCATAGGGTTAAAAAGTACCGAAATAAGGTACCATTTGGTACCGGTACCGAATTCCAGATACCGTTACCGTATCGGTTCAATTATGAACGGTACCCAACCCTAGTCCCTGCTCCGGGGAGGCGAGCTCCAGCCGCTGGGATCATTGTCCAGTTCTTGTCGCGGTCTCACAGGGACAAGATCTGGAAAGATGCCAAAACATCTGCCTTGCTCAAAGAAAGAAAGATATGAATAATAGAAGACCTGACACAAGAAGTCCAGGACGCCCAGAACAAACTATGGCCGGTGGTTGAGCAGGCGAGGAAGGAGGGGAAGAGAGCAGGGATCAGAGGTCAAGCTGCTTACATCGATGGAAGAAAAGTGACAGTGAGCAACACGTAGGTGATAAAACATCTGCTGTATCAGGCCGTTTATTCTGTTACATCAGACTGTGTCGGCTTATTAGGCAAAGGCTTTAAATGAATGTAGTTTATAAGGGTTAATTGAATTTAAAGGTACTTTTTCTGTTATGATATTAACTAGTGCCTCTTCTGATGATCCCTGGTAAAGCCTGGGTAGTCCAGCCGACATCAATGATTTAAATTAAACTTCCAATAAGCCCTTTAAAATATGAATGTCCTGGTCTGTCGCAGACGCAACAGTACTCCTCAAATCCTCAGAGAGGATTCTGAGTGTCTTTACTTTTCATTCTTAGTTGTTTTGATGAAAAGTTGTGTTCTATCTGTCAATGCCAGGGGTATTAGAAATCAACTGAAGAGAAAATGTTTATTTTTATATAGCCAGAATAAAAGTGCAGATTTTTATTTTATCCAAGAAACTCATGCTTCAGAAGCAGGTGTGTCATTTTGGAGTCAGTGGTGTGGTTTTCCTTCGGCAGTAACAGGTCAGCAGGGGTCGCTATATTACAGGGAAATTTAAAGGCAATATTATCAATCACCTCTCAGATACAAATGGTAGATGGATAATCCTTCTGGTAGATGTTGACCATTCTCAGCTTATCATTATAAATATATACGCCTCCAACAATAAACAAAATAATGCTGTTACATTCTCAGCAATAGAAAACAAAATGAACCAGTTGTTCCTACAGCAAAGATATTATGGGGAGGAGAGTTTAATACAGTGATGGATGAAAACTTGGACAGAGGCCTCCTAAGGACAGAGTAATGACTGGTTTAGGGAATATTTGTGGCAGGATGGGTCTTATTGATATCTGGAGGCAGAGAAAGCCAAACCAAAATATACACTGCCTGGCCAAAAAAAAAGTCACCACCAGAAAAAAAGGTCATACACTCTAATATTTCGTTGGACCGCCTTTAGCTTTGATTACAGCACACATTCGCTGTGGCATTGTTTCGATAAGCTTCTGCAATGTCACAAGATTTATTTCCATCCAGTGTTGCATTAATTTTTCACCAAGATCTTGCATTGATGATGGTAGAGTCTGAC